GACTCCTAAATAGAGATAAGTCTACACCTAATATGCGTTGCTGGTTTAGTCTTTCGCCGAGTGAAGAAGACACCAGAATCCGAGTCTGGGAACTTTTATCCTGAAACCTAAGTAAGGATGAGTCAGCGCCTAACGCGCGTTGTCGGGTAGTCTATTCCCGTAAGAAAAATGAAGGCTACATATTCAATATCGTAGCACTAAGAGAGTTAACTCTCTTAGCACAACGTTACATGCAGAACAGACTTAAACAATCTGCATGCTAGTCCGACTCGAACGGTAGTCGATAAAGACATGCTAAATTTGTTGAAGGCTGAGGGTTTGCTAAAAATCCTAAGTCTACGTCTAACACACATCACCGGGTAGTCTATTCCCATGAGAAAGATGAAGTCTACGTATTTAATATCGTAGCACTAATAGAGTTAACTCTCTTAGCATAATGTTACTTGAGGAACGGACTTAAACAATCCACATGCTAGCCCGACTCAAACGGTAGTCGGTAAATGCTCATCAAACCCGTTGATGGCTGAGGGTTTGCCCGACTCAAACGGTAGTCGGTAAATGCTCATCAAACCCGTTGATGGCTGAGGGTTTGCCAAAAATCCTATAAATATGAGAGTCATTGACGCACCAGGCTGAGGGTTTGCCAAAAATCCTATAAATATGAGAGTCATTGACGCACCAGCTCCATTAGTTGGTCTCATGACTTGAGGATCCGATAATATTGATATATGCAGATGAATCAGCTTTAACAGTTGGTCTTGCAGTCCTAACATTTGGGACCTCCACGCTCCAATACCTTAAGAGCTTAAACTATGTAAACTCTAGTAAACGTACGAGTATAAACTATGTTAACGCTGGTCAGTGCATTACAACAAAAGATAATGCCGGTCAACACGCTATAGTAAAGGTCGATGCCAGTCAACGCATTAGTAATTTCGCCAAAATAAGGAAAATGATGATTTCAGGGAGTTCAATCGCATTTAGATATAAATTTCTGATGAAGATGTTCAGTTTAAAGTCAACTTAATGACACGAGCTAAATTCAGAAACTTACACATCAACTTCAGTTCAAGATTTCGACAACGACCAGACGATAAACGTAGCGCCGGAAGAACTTCATTTATTTGATAAAATACTAAATAGACTGAAGGCTGAAGAAGTTAAGAATTGAAGCAATTCATAGGTCCCTCTGCGAGATTGAGGAAATGGCCTATCTTATCCAAAACATTCCAGACTCTTCTATAAAATGATGAGCCTGAAATACTTTGGAGGGGGTATCCATAGGCGTCTAAAAATACTTATAGATATCCGCACACACCTCGAGATGGAGAGAAGATGATAAACACCATTATCTGAGTCTAAGAGGATTATCTGATGCTGACAAGTGCATGAATCGGAATGGCGAACTAACTGTGTCTCGTGTGCTCATCGGTCGCAATTAGCCATCACGCTCTTTAGTCAGCTTGAGCATGTCAGTCAGATCAAAGTGCCTGACGTGCTCGTCGATCAGGTCCAAAGTGCCCGACGCGCTTGTCGGTCAGATCCAAAGTACCCGACGCGCTTGTCGGTCAGTTCTAAATGCCGTAAAGATGCTAACGAACACATGAAGTGAGTTAATAACGTGTGCAAGTCAACAAGACGATCAAATACGTAAAACAGTAGAAAATACAAGTTCCGAAAAATCAGAAAACACCAAAAAGTTTAGCAAAGACCAAACTTCCCGCGCAAGCACGGGTCGGTCGCAACTGACCCGTGCCCGCGCTGGTCGGACGCAGCCGACCCGTACCCGCGTAGGTCGGCCGTGGCCGACCCGTGCCCCCCGCAGATCACCAGTGCCCATCGTGCTATTTTGATCCCCAAATGTGTTTTTAACGGTTTTAAACGGTTTTCTCAGGATTTATCTGTTCCAGAGGTTCCTAACTGACTTGATAACATCCACAAATGTGGTTAGGCTGTTATTGACTAAAGATAATACCAAATCACTTATTCTCATCCAAATACCCACGCTCGAGGCCTATAAATATCAGCCCAAGGCCTCCATTTTACAGGGCTAGAAATTTATCAAGACGAGGAGGTGCTGCCGGATTGAGGAATCAAAGGAGCACGAATTTCAGAGGAGGCTAACTGATTTCGACGAAGTTCTTCAGCATAAAGAGGCAGAGTTCGAGAGATCTAAAGCTCCGTCCATCTGTTCCTTGAGATTAGGCTTGGTCTTAATCTCGAGAAGAGCTACTGATTTCACTTGGTCGATTTCAGAGCTTCAAGCGAATACTTCCTTGGCGAAGCAGGAGCTCTGTTAATTTTCTATTAACCGGATCTGATCCGCGGTGATCCACGAATATTGATGTCCCCGGCACATGTAAAAATCCCACAAAAAGCAATAGGCGATAAACACCTGTTGCGTGTTGTTTAAAAGAGATTTGTAATCTATTTTCGTTGCATTGGAAGTATTATAAAAAGACTATCTTTATTTTGAATTTATTGCAACGCCTAAAGTTGTAATAAATTCAGCAATGAAAACAATTTTCTACCCAAACAAAAGCTTGTGGACCACTTTTAAATTAGGTATCTAATTTTGGAATGCACTGTTCTATACATGAAGGAAATCGAGGTGATTGTTTGAGAACTTAATTTCCTACCAACCTCAGGATTATGTAATGCCCAAGTATTGCTAGGGTTGCCCAAATATTCTCTTTTAAATTTATTAATATGCTCCTCATACCTTGCAATCTATAGCTACTCTAATCAAACCCTTATACAAATCAAAGTGTTTAGTCCCAATGCCCTATGTATCATCAACTTCTAATCGAGAATCATACTAATTGTATTTTCAACTTAATCTACAGATTCCTTTTTGGTATTATCACCTCTGTCGTGTTCTACATGTCATGTTCTACATATTGGTATGAATGTGTTGTATTTAAAATTTTTTATCAAGGGTAAAGCCATAGATTACATGGTTAAAATATTATGCCTTATAATAAGGGAGCATTGACTGAGTATGAATGTGTTATAGTCTACGCAAAAACAGAAACTAATTAAAAGTATGCAAAGCAAAAAAAATGAAAAAAATAAAAAAAAGAAGAAAGGTATTTGTTTTCTATTTCGGTTTAATCAAATAAAAGTATATAATCAAATAAAACCAAATTAAAATAATATCAAATATGAAGTTTTACCTTGATATATGGAAGAACCTGCAACAATCAAATCCTTAATCCTCTAAATACTGCATGAAAACTAAAAAATTTAAAAAAAAACATCAATTGCCATAAAAAGTAATTGCAGTGCAAAACAAGTATCACTATTAAATCAAATACACAATATTTCTAAAGAATACTCATGAAAATAAAAAAGAACATACATGTTGAAGGAGATGAAATTACTATGAAAATTATATAATTTCTTGGGTTATATATAGGCATGAGGTGTTGCATGTGATAAGATGATAGTCATAATTAGAGTTCTCTTTGTACAAATATTTGAAATTTAAAAATTAGAATTTGATTAGAATTGTTATATATCAGCTATTGCAGTTACGCAATCATTAGTACGTAAATATTACGGGTGCTTCAAATACTAATCCCTAAAAAATATTGTTAGAGTCTATATGTAAGAATATTTAGCTAATCCTATTATTAATAGGATTTGAATTTCTTTGTTGTGTCATTTAAGCAACAGAAGTAGCTCTCTTATTGGTTTGAAGATAAGGATGAAATAAGTGAGAAAAATTGTTCTTTTGATAAAACTCTTAGGAACCAAGATCACCTATTTTTGGATAAAAGATAAGAATTCGACCCCTTATTTTTTGATAAAATTGGTGACCCATTGTTAAAATGATGAAGATAGAGACATAGTTTGAGAGAGATTGTAATTGAATTTCTAATGTTTAGTGAGACAGAGATCATTGAAGCGAGATCCACCTCTTCATCTTCTTCAAAGGAAATCCAACATGTGAATACTAATCTTGATAGTTCACTTAGTCGACCATGTATGATTCTTTATAAATCTATATGAACTCATAGTTATTTAATTAGTGTTATAATATAGACATCATTGTTTTCTTCCCCATGTGCTTGAATTATAATATTTTAAATTTTATTGTGGATTAGGGTTATGGTTTTCATTGGGTATAATTAAATATTTATTTATTCTATTACTGTATTTTTTAGAATTCTAACTTGCACATGGATTTCAAAAATGTTAGAGTTTGATTGTGAGGATAGTTATACAATTTAAAAGTTAGAATTTGATTAAGATTAAAATAGTTCAAACTTTGAAGTTATTTGATTAGGATTAGAATAAATCATTAAATATAATTTAAAAATTAGAATTTGATTAGTGATAGGATAGTTCAAACTTTATAGGGGTATTTTTGTCTACCGAATGATTTTCGTGAACTCGTGTTTGTAAAGGGAGTATCATTTATCATAAAACTGTTTATAATAAAAGAACAACAAACCTAAAAACTAGAAGAAAAAATCATATACTATGTAAAGTGTAAAAGGAGAATTTTTTGAAATAGGCCGATTTTGATAAATATTTAGCAAAAACCACCGTTTTACTGAATATTTAGCAAAACCTACCTATTTTTGGCTAGCTCACCAAGGCTAGCCAAAAAGAGATCGGTTTTTCTAAATAAGTATTTCGAAACACATGAGACTAGTAGTCCTGTGTGTTTAGTGACCTCGACCCCTAAACAAGAATCAGAGTACCCGTGGGACTATTAGTCCTGTGGGTTTTATGAACATTTTCAGAAAATCCATGGGACTAGTAGTCCTGTGGGTTTTGTAGAAACACCAAAACATGCACAGATTGATCCCGACTTATATCATACATATATACAATATATCATATGCACAAAAAATATAAGTCCACCTCATATACATTGTTAAACTGTATAATGCTTATATAAGTTGTAAATTTTAAGAAATAAATATAAATTAAAACACATTTAATCAATTCACAATATCACACCACAATAGATAAATCCACTTCATATACATATCCATACGCCCAAACACTCTCAACAAATCCAAATGTATCAAGTATATTTAGTTACAAATAGAGTATAAACAGAAAAACCAATAAAACCACATACAATCTAAAAGTCTTTCCCTCCCTCGTTGTCTCCCTCTTCGTACCCGTTTAGATCATCGACGTCCTCCTTCGAGTTAAACTTGTACATGCTCGCTCTTCGGTTGCGTGTGGGACTATGACGAACTACCTTCATTGTCAGAGCAAGATCCACCTTGTCTTCGTTGACATGCATATAAGACATCCCCCTCATACGCCATCTACTCACGACCATCATGTCGATCCTTATGAGTTCGATGAAGAGCTCTACGAACCCTCCGCACTATCTGCTACAATACTGATACATGTACGTAATCTCCTCTTGTGGTAGCTATGCCCTCATTTGCAATCCCCTCTATATCATCCATAGCGTCTATCTGTAATTACGTAAAACGGGATTAAAAAACCTAAAATGGATGGAAAACTATTTGAAATTACATAATTTACTCATCCATTCTCTATCATCTACACCCCTTGGTATGTATCTTGCTTGTTGGGAACGTATCTCTAGTTCGTAGTCTGGAGGCGTGGTTTGAGTGATTATCTATCTTTTGGTAATCCCCAATACTATCTTATATAATCTATTTCCTCCATCTGAGAATAAAGTTGCTCGACATTACTGAAATACTGCTTATTCCATCTAGTGAAGTACCGACGATGCTCATTTGCCCAGTCTATTTGATGCTCACCCTTAGACGTCTTTCTCTATATTCTTTCTACTTCTTGTGGAGCATGCTATGCCAAACCAAACTGCTTAATTACACGATTCAGCACATGCATTTCTAAAATTTCAAAGCAGATGATAGGAACTCTTGCTCTCTATATATTGGCCCCTCCATGCAAATTAGTGGTACACGAGATATGTAAGTTTTGTATAGCTGCCACTCAAACTACAAAATATTCCACATATTAGTAACTCTTTGAAATATATCGGTAGATCAAATTTTCTTAAATTAAAATTTGATACCTAATAAAATTTCATTCGGTCAAGCTCTCCTCTGTAAAAATCTAACAGTCTTGCCAAAGTCTCATCCTAGCACTTTTGGACGTTCCATCTGTATGAATGATAAAAGGTTGGCATCTAATACCATAATAAAAATTCAAAATCAAATTTGCTATAATTAGATCCGAAATTATTTACCTACAGCCCAGTGAAATATGTTCATCTAAAACTCGTGTCTCGCATAAACTTGATTTCAAGACCAATCTCTCCCACGCTAAAACTTGTAATAATGTCAAACACACCTCAAACTCCTTATTTTGCCTAAAATCAACTTTCGATATGTCCCTATACAGATATGCTAAAATAACACTATCTCATGATAATGTCCTGCATGTTTCGAAGTTCCGGAGAAGTGGTAACCATCTATCACATTAAGAATGCATCTAGTTCTATTCAATTAATTATTATAAAATCAAATAGCAAAATAACTCTTTTATCATTAACATAAACTAGAAAAAACAATAAAAAGTGCATTATATGAATAACAAGCTCTATTCAATTAATATTTCCATAGTTAAATGTTGGAAATAATTATATTACTTCAAATGTAGTTTATCTTTACTTGAATCAGGGAATAGAAGTGTGTCGATTATGTGCAAAAATATATGCACGAGTATGTTGTTGGATTGTGACTTGGAATGCATTTTCTGGCAACGGGTGTGAGAAATTTTCTTTAAGCCACTTCAATCTAACATCCCCTAGGCAACGACTGTAGACATACTCCCGACGACTCCTCACAAACTCGGTTCCATACATGTCTATTTGTTTCTGTAACACAATGATCATCAATGTGGAGACCAAGGATTACTGCTATACCTTGGAGAGTAATAGTCGACTTGCCGACACGTAGATGAAAAGTGTTCGTCTCTGGCCTCCATCTATCCATTAATGCATTGAATAGTGCTCAATTGAGTTTTATCCACTGTAGCCTCGAGCATGTGAGAAAACTGACTTAGCCTACCTAGGCAATTATACGCCCTAAAGTGGCCGACTTGTATATTTCAGGCTATGATCAACCATAACTAGCTCCAGTCCTCTCTGCACCACAATGAAAAATAATATTCAAGCATAATAATAAAAAATAATATTAGAGTATAAAAGAAGAAATTATGACCGATATAATCTCCGAACGGTGTCATGACTGATCATAAAGGACGTCATCACTAACTAGCCCGGGAAGCATAATGTATATACTTGCACATAAAATATTCCATATGTTAGTATTAGTTGTCATCAATAAGACTACAATAACCAATAAGACTATAATAGAAGGCATGAAATAGAGATATAAAACTTATTACCAATTAATTGATATGTACTTGTTCTTGATGGATAATGATACCTATTATGATCTAATTGATTACATTGACTACATTTAATTCGCGACACTACTCCTTCACGGCCTTGATCCATGGTACCTCTAATGCGCACGGTCAAGATTGTCCCACTTGAGGTGGTAATAGACATGGTCTATTATAAGTCGGCTAATAATGACTATCATCGGGAAGATGAAAACTCTCCTTGTAAGTCTTTCGGTGCTGAGCTCCACAGTACCGATCATAAGGCAATCTAGCGCCACCATGGAATTCCTTTCATCCTGTTGGAAATCAAAAGTAATCATTCTAGGACTTTGAACAGTAGGGATGAATCTGTACATACATTGAAAAACTACTTCCAACTCTATGTGTCCTCTACCTCAACTCTATGTGTCATCTACCATTTGCATCTACACCTGTCGCAACTAAAAGCACTTCTTTGTACTTGCCATATAAATGCATACAATTGATACTCAAGAGCGGATGACAAAATGAGAACCCTTTGATAGCAGGTCCAAATGCCCAAAATACTCGCATGAACCTCTCTACTCCCTGTGCAATCTCTTTAGACAATACTTTGTATTCAATACCTGAAAATTTTCTCTTAATTGCTTCAAGATATTATGGAAGTAATTCGTAAGATTTCTTTCAATCTTCAAAGATTTTAGTCAACGCCTTCCTCTGCGCATCATATACTTTATATTTAGATATAGTCATTTTTCTCATCTCGTATACTCTTGTAATTATCTGACTTGGAATAAAATCAAGTTCTCGCCTTACTTTAGGCTTAATTAACTTCAAGATATAAAAGAAAGTTGTTGCCTTATGATCGACATTAACAGTCGGATTGTAACATGTATGAAGCCCGTAATAAGTAGATATCATAAATTACCCATTAGATTTTTTTCTTACAACTGCACTAAGCTTCCATGGACACTTTGAATATCTTTCATCTTGAGCACTTATATACTCTCCTTGAGCTTTCTCGTTGAAGTAGCACTTTACATGGTAGTTGGTTGTGTTAGTTTTTACTAGCTTGAATTTGACCAAATTCTTGATTGACCATTCACGTATAGTGAATGTGAATCACGTGGGGGGACCACGAATACAAATGGGATGCTTTTGTCCAGCGGAAGAAGATAGAGCCGCAGTTTTTTGGACTAACCGCGTGGGATGCTTTTGTCCAGCGGGTTTCGTTGCGCCCACTTGAGAAGATTTGGAGAGTTGAAAACCGCGTGAAGAGGTGAAGATTCAGCGGACAAAAGAAGGCCCACCCGAAGACACAGCAGATGTTTATAAAAACCCTTTCCTAGGGTTTTGTGCTCTTGTGTGCAAAGGGGCGTGAGCAGGAGGAGCACAGGGAACAGAAGAGTGGCGGCTTGAGAAAATAGCAGTGAGACTACGGGAGAATTTTTTTTAAGCGGTGGCTGCAAATTTGTGTAAAGGTAGAGACTTTGGTAGTTATTCACAGAAAAAGCAAAGTCTTTTTGTAACTGTTCTTTGATTTGTGCATCCCCTTTTGAGAGAGATATTTGTGTGAGAGGTTTGAGAGATTGTGTGAGGGTTTAGATTTAGTAATTATAAACCCTAATTATATTCTCTCCCTCTAGTAGTAGATCTCCCCCTCATTGCCTCGTGGACATAGGCAGTTTGCCAAACCACGTAAAATTTGTTTGTTTGAGTTTGTGACCATTGTAATAGTTTTTAGGATCCCTCAATAAGTCAGTCCTAGAACTGATGAGAGGAAGAGCCGATATCTCACTTTGTTGAGATATTCGCTTCAGATTCTTGTTTCCTTGGTGAGACGTGAATTCTTATTGATTTTTCTCTCTTATATATTATACACCAGAAACTCTGCTGAAATTTCTGCTACGCACAACAAGTGGTATCAGAGCCCAGGTTCCAGATCTAGGGTTTGGTTGGAGGAGTAGATCAATTTGGAGGTCGTCTAGGGCTTCGTTTGGTGATAAAGGTGGAATCTTTTTGGTAAAGACTCTATCTTTTTAGTTTTGGATCTATTCTTTGTTCGTTGGTGTGTTAAGAAAGATGTCGGGGAAAGAAGGTGCTTCGGGTGTCGAGGGTGGTGCTTCTGGCACGAAGACCATTCAGAGTTTGAATATCCACTCTATGAAGATAGATGTGGAGCAGTTTAATGGCACAAACAACTTTAAATTATGGAGATGTGAGGTTTTGGATGCGCTGAACGCGCAGAATTTAGAGGATACATTGGAGTTAGATGGCAAGCCAGATGACATTAAAGAGAAGGTTTAGAAGAATATGAATCGAACGACGTGTGGTATGATTAGGTCTTGTTTAACTCAAGATCTAAAATATAATGTGATGAATGAGACTTCTGCGAAGAAGATTTGGGAGATTCTTGAAAGCAAGTATCTGACAAAGAGTGTTGAGAACCGCTTACATTTGAAGAGGAGACTTTATCGTTTCCAGTTGAAGAAGGGAACCTCAATTAGTGATCACATGAACACTTACACAAAGCTTCTTGCGGATTTAGCGAATGTGGATGTCATGATTAAAGATGAGGACAAGGCGTTGCTGTTGTTGAGTTCCTTACCCGACGAGGAATATGAGACCTTCGTCCTTACTCTGATTAATGGGAATGCATCTCTTTCATATAGTGAGGTCACTACTGCACTGGTGAATTATCAGCTTCGGAAGAAGGATAAGGAGACTTCGATTGAGCCGATAGCAGAGGCGTTGGCCGCAAGAGGGAAGAATCTGAATCGAAAGAATTAGAAGTCACAGTCTAGAGTAGGAAAAGATCAGTGTGCTTGGTGCAAGGAGACCAGTCATTGGAAGAAAGGCTACCCAAAGCTCGACGAATGGATGAAGAATAAGCATAAGGGAAAAGGGAAGCAACCATCATCAGAAGCAAATATCGTATCGGATGGTAATATTTCTGACTCTTCTATTTATTCGTTTTCTATCAGTCCTACAGATAGCTATTCGGAGGAATCTGAATGGATGTTGGATAGTGGTGCGACCTATCACGTGTGCCCTAGAAGGGAATGGTTCTCCAGTTTTGAGAAGCTGGATAGTGGTGTGGTGTACATGGCTGATAACCGTGCATGTCAGATCCTTAGGATAGGAAGAATTCACATCAAAATGTTTGACAGGATTGTTAGAGAGTTAAATGATGTGAGATATGTTCCTTCTTTGAGGAAGAACTTGATCTCAATTGGAGCTTTGGTTGGAGAGGGTCTGAATGTTCAAATTGAGGACATGGTTCTTAAGATTGTGGAAGACTCTCAGATTATGATGAAGGGCGTCAGGAGGAATAACATGTATTACTTGATTGGAAGTATAGTGGCAGGTGGAGAACTGGCGACTTCTATTGATTCGATTAGACTGCGACACTTGGGGCTTGGCCATTCCAGTATTGATTCCTTGCATAGATTGAAAGAGGGTGCGAAGACCTACAATTTGAAGTCTAGTAAACATGTTGATGTGAGTAAGAAGACTGAGGTGAAGTTTGACACCTCTATTCACCGTGCTAAGGGTCATTCTGGAGGAGTTCACGTGGATGTTTGGGGGCCTTCCAAGGGGTCATCATTGGGAGGTAATAGGCGTTCGGTTTTCTTTGTTGGTGGTTGTTCTAGGCGTGTTTGGGTTGCAATCAAATCCCCATTAGAGAAAGTCCTAGTAGTCTCTAACAGTTTGAAGAAGTGTAAGATAGACATAAAGGTGAAGGTACTTCATTCTGATCTTGGTGGGAGGTACAAGATGGACCTATTTCTGTATTGGAGCCGAGCTCACGACATTGCGAGACACTTCGTTGGAAAGGAAATCTTGGGGCAACTTGATAGGGTGATAAATTTAGAGAACCGTGCATTACTGGAGGAGGATCGATGTTTGTTGTCAAGCAATGGTCTGCAGAAGAGTTTCTTGACTGATGCTTCGACATATTCGAGCCATCTTATTAAAGCGTTGTCAACTGCTGTGATTGGAGGTAAAACTCCATTGGAAGATAGGTCTGGTAGTGTCACTTTGGTTGAGTCTTCGATGAGGAAGCCAATTGGCTCTCAGCAGGTGGAGAGTTTTGGACAGACCTTAGAGGTATCGCAACGGGTGGAGATTGATGCTACTCCACATTGGGTGAGGATTTTTCCACATACTCCAGGTCATTCTGCTTTGGTTGAGATTCCAACTGAGGTGACACAACGTGGGAGTCATTTGAATTCAGATGCGGATGATGAGTTGATAGATCCGAGTGCAGCTGGTGGATGTGGCTTGGATACGGCCATTGGTTCACCTCAGGTGGAGATATTTGAGACCATTAGAGGTGCTATCAACCGCAGAGTTGATGATATTGGAGAAGGATTGCGAACTCTTCTATTGGATTGAGGTCTTTGGAGGCCATTTGGGTGAACTACGTAAGGCTTGATTCCTTAGGCAAGAGGATACTTAGGCGGTCTTTATGATGCAGTCGATTTGGTGAGTAGACACCGATGTTTGGGTGAGTGTTCGTACTCCCGTTTGGATCTTGACTTGTTGTGGATGGAGTCCGTTGTCGTGAACTGTTTCACTTCGTACTGGACGCAACAAGTGAGACATTTGGTTTGTTTGGTGTCGGCTCAGTTTTGGAAAAACTTCACCGAGGTGGAGAATTGTGAATCACGTGGGGGGACCATGAATACAAATGGGATGCTTTTGTCCAGTGGAAGAAGATAGAGCCACGGTTTTTTGGACTAACCGTGTGGGATGCTTTTGTCCAGCGGGTTTTGTTGCACCCACGTGAGAAGATTTGGAGAATTGAAAACCGCGTGAAGAGGTGAAGATTCAGCGGACAAAAGAAGGCCCACCCGAAGACACAACAGATGTTTATAAAAACTCTTTCCTAGGGTTTTGTGCTCTTGTGTGCAAAGGAGCGTGAGCAGGAGGAGCACAGGGAACAGAAGAGCGGCGGCTTGAGAAAATAGCAGTGAGACTACGGGAGAAATTTTTTTTAAGCGATGGCTGCAAATTTGTGCAAAGGAAGAGACTTTGGCGGCTATTCACAGAAAAAGCAAAGTCCTTTTGCAACTGTTCTTTGATTTGTGCATCCCCTTTTGAGAGAGATATTTGTGTGAGAGGTTTGAGAGATTGTGTGAGGGTTTAGATTGAGCGATTATAAATCCTAATTATATTTTCTCCCTCTAGTAGTAGATCTCCCCCTTATTGCCCCGTGGACGTAGGCAGTTTTCCGAACCACGTAAAATTTATTTGTTTGAGTTTGTAACCATTGTAATAGTTTTTAGGATCCCTCGACAAGTCAGTCCTAGAACTGATGAGAGGAAGAGC